TCATATGCTATGTCAAATGAGCTTAACTCTATGGCCCACTTCGTCATTCTTCCTGAGAGGTCTGGCTTGTGCAGGATTATTTTGATAGGGAAGGTGGTTAGAACGATGATAGGATGGGATTCAAAATAATGCCTGAGCTTTCGTTTTGCATGCACTAGCGAGAGTATTACCCGCTTGGCCTTTGAATAACGTCGTTCGGCCTCAGTCATCGTTTTGCTAACATAGAACACTGGATATTGCTTCCTCTCTGGACAACGGATCAGAACGCCACTTGTCGCGATGTTGGACACCCCGAGGTATAAAAATAGTTTTTCTCCTGGTTCTGGAGCTGACAGAACCGGAAGATTCTGCATATATTCTCTCAGACCAGTTAATGCCAGGCGTTGTTCATCCCCCCAAACTTGTCTGCCATGGCTTCGTATTGTGTCAAAAAATGGTTTGCAACGATCTGACAATTTAGAAATGAATCGGCTCAATGCTGCGATCCATCCCGTAAGAGTTTGCACTTCCTTGACTATTGTCGGCTCGGCATTCTTAGTCAAAGCTTCTGCTTGGGCTGGGCTAGCTTCTATGCCTCTATGATTAACCACGTGTCCCAGGAATTGACCAGAACTCATGTCGAATGAGCACTTGGTTGGATTGAGCTTCATTCCGTAGTGCCTCAACACGTCAAATACGTCTTGTAGATGTTTCAGATGGTCAACTTTCTCCTTACTTTTTACTACCATGTCATCAATGTAAGCTTCCACGGTCTTCCCTATTTGAGCCTTGAAAATTTTGCTAATAAGTCTTTGGTAAGTTGCTCCGGCGTTCTTCAGTCCGAATGGCATGACTTTGTAGCAATAGGTCCCGCACTCGCTAACGAAAGAAGTTTTCTCTTCATCAGCAGGGTCCATGGGGATCTGATTATAACCTGAATAAACATCTAAAAAGGTTAAACGCTCATATCCAGTAGTAGCATCCACCATTTGATCAATTTTCGGCAGCGGAAAGCTATCCTTCGGACAGGCTTTGTTTAAATTGGTGAAATCAATGCACACTCGCCATTTCCCATTCTTCTTCTGCACAACAACAACATTTGACAACCAGTCAAGATAATACACTTCTCTTATAAATCCCGCATCAAGTAGCCTGTCAACCTCCTTGGCTATGATATGGTTACGCTCTAGAGCAAACCTTCGCTGCTTCTGCTTTACAGGTCTTGCATTGGGATTTACGTTCAAGGAGTGACAGGATACAGAAGGATCGATTCCAGGCATGTCTAGGTGGCTCCATGCAAATACATCGGCGTTTTGAGATAAGAACTTAACTAACTCCTGCTTCTCCTCCACGGCGAGTCGTTCCCCCACTCTGGTTGTTCGTTCCGGTCGGAACCGATCGATCTGCACATCAACCAGGGGTTCTTCGGTCAAGTCCATTGGCTCCTCCTTCCCACTCTGCTTGGGGGGAAGCTCTTGTAATTGCTATCTCGGGCTTGTCGAACAAATGGGAGCTTTCCCTTTTCCAGCATACTTCAGTGTTACTGAATAACATTCCTTAGCTGCAACCTGGTCCCCATGAATGTCAATCACCTTGGTTCCGTTTGGCCCCAGGCATCTCATTACTTGATGCAGAGTGGAAGGAACACCTTGAACTCTGTGGATCCACCCTCTGCCAATCAGAAGGTTATAAGAGGGATGAATCTCGACAACTACAAAGGTCTCCATCAGAACCCTCTCTGCAGTGTGTACTACTACCTCCACCGTACCGATGGGCTCCATTCGTTTTCCATCAAACCTTAGCAAGGGATTTCCAGTGGGCTTGAGCAGATCCGGCTTGATCTCGAGTCGATCAAATGTGTCCCTCGGCATGACGTTCGTACTACTTCCAGGATCAATCAGAACTCTGCGTACCAAACATTCGGCTACTGTCAAACTGACGACCAACGGGTCCTCATGAGGGATCTGAACACGCAATAGATCTGTTCTGTCAAACTTTATCTGTGTTGATGCGCTCTGTTGGTGCAGATTGTTGATACTGCCTATCCTCCTCTTCATCCGTGCCTGGCGAAGGCGTGTTCGAAGCAGTTCTTCTGACTCCTCAGTAGGCTCAGGCCGACCGTGAATTGCATTGATTATTCGAACTGGTTGCGTATTGTGAGGGTTCGACTTCTGATTCCTCTTCACGTGCTCCATTGGTCGGTTCTGTTCCACCGCCGGGCCTTGAATATAACTGGCGAACTCCCCTTTGGCTATCAGCATCTCTACCTGTCTCCTTAAGTTCTTGCATTCATTAGTCTAATGGCCAAAGTCAGAATGAAATGCACAATGCTTAGACTGATCACTCTGTTCGAGGGGTTGTCTGATCGGTAAAGGAGATCGGAACTTATCTTTATTTTCTTGGTACAGCCTTGCTAAGGTGACTTTCAACGGAGTAACCAGCTCTTCCTCCCTGAGCCTCTTCTCAAATTTCCACGAGGTCTGACGCTGTGGCTGAATCTGCTTTTGTCTAATCTTTGCTTTGGTTTTCTCCTCTGTGGATATGACGGATGTCTTCCGATCGTTAGCTGCCTCTTCTTCTTCCAAGCGCACAAATCCATCAACTCTTTCGTTAAGTTCATCCATAGTCTTCGGCGTATTCACGACCAAGCTTGTGTGGAATGGAGTGCCACGAGTCATGGCCAGTATAAACGCTTGAACCGCAGTAGAAGGATGACATTCAATCACCATACTCTTAGTAAGGTTAAACCTGGTTAGGAAAGCCTGGAGATGCTCATCCTCATGCTGCTTCATTGTGAATAGGCTCGAAATGTCCTTTGCAGGACGCTTATTTCCATAATATTGGCTTATGAACCGATCACACAAGCTTCGGAAGCTGTCCACTGAGCCCCTCGGCAGGTTCTTGAACCAATTGAGCGCTGGTCCAGCTAGACTTGTAGGGAAGCACTTGCATATCAAGGAGTCATTCTCAGTGTTCAGAGCCATTTTCAACTGGATGTGATACACATGATCGATCGGATCGATCGTTCCGTCGAACAGAATGAAAACGGGCATGGAAAATTTCCTCGGACTCGGAGCATTCAGAATCTCATCGGTGAACGGTGAATCAACCGTTCGAGCTGCTGAACGAAGCGCTTCATTTTCTCTCTGGAACCCCGCGGTTGCTCTCTAGTCCACAGATCTCCTCTCTGAGCCGTGATGGTCGAACGTCGCCATGGAAGGCCGATAAGTCGGATCGAATGATCTGTCCTCAACAAACTCTCTGTGCCATGGAGGCATAGCTTTGTGACGATCAAACTCCATTGCTTCACCTCGGCTGAGCGTTTCTTGATGTGGATCGAAAGTCATGGCTTCGTCTCACCTGATCTGCTCACGCCGTGGATCCACGTGAGTTAATCCTTCACGATCATCAATACGACGAGGATTTGGCGGCAAATTGTTTGGCCGGACTTCCTCGCAGTGAAGATCTGTCAGATTGTTCCCTTCCGCCTCGCCGTGATGTGCCGCATCGGTACGTGCAACTTGTTCTCCCGCCGGGAGCAGTCGCGGAATCACCGGAACTTCTTGACGCTGCATTTCAGTCCTTAAATCTGCATTCTCTCTTCTGAGAGCTTCGATCATGCTCATCAACTCATCAAGTTTCATATGCTAGACATTCGTTACCGTATTGGAGTGCTCACCCCCAGTCATCATTCCAGAACGGGGCAAAGGCATGAATCGTAAATTCTAAGTTAGATCGGAGTCTCGCTGACGCGAATCACGGCATATCTGAACTCCAATTTTACGAGTTTTGCTTTCTCTTCGATAGATCGGAGTTTTTCCGGCGTCTGAGCTTGTCGGATCGGGCCGCGATAAAGTGAATCACGGCTGCGTAAACCTAACGCCAATCTCTCAGAAGCAATCAAGAATCCAGAATCTCTCAAGAGCCAACCGCAATCTCTTAGATCTGGACTAAACTTCTACAAATCAAGCTTCGTCATCATCAATCAGCCGAAATCAACATGACATTGATCAAACATGAATCAGCCTTTAACGTATTCCCACAGACGGTGCCAATTGAAGATGCAAGAGATTCACTCATCTTTCTCTCTCTAGAATTCTTATACTTCAACAAAATGAAAACTCTAAAAAATCATCCTCCCCTTTCTCTTCTCGTAATGGTCTATTTATAGACCATTACAAATTCTCTAACCAACTTATTACATAGGGCTCCTATTCAAGGGCTTTCTTCCTTTTGGGCCTGACTTTCAGTGTTGCGTTATGGGCTGGGTTTAACTGTTCGGTCCGATCCTTCATTCGTGGGTGTTGGGCTTATTACACTACCCTTTTTGCTTGGGCTCGGACCTACCATCCAACCTGATCATTCACTCGCGGGTCGGGTCTGGTCCAATCCGTCTTTGATATCCTCAACTTGCCTTGCCCAGAATGACTCACATGCCACTAAGCCATGTAAACTATCATTTCCTTCACTGGAAATTTCTACCCATACAAGCAAGCAGAAAATAATATCAAACACATAGCATTTCATGTCTAGAAAGTCACACTTGCAAATCTAAAATTCATATACAAGATCAGTAAACTAATTCATATACTATAAAGCAGAAGCCTATATGACAAGAGGTTGTCCTATGTCATCGCTATCAAAGATGCTATACGTCCTTAAAATTAATTAATATGTTTATCACCTTTAAGTAAAAGTGTAAAACTCCTTCAATAACCTCCCACCTATCTTTATTCTGCAAAGTAATTAAACAGGTTGTCCTCTATATCCAGGTTACCAGATCATAGAGAGATATGGGAGAGTGGTGATCTCAGAAATATCATGATGTCCAGAGTACCTCTAGGTAGGTCAGTAAGTACAAGTGTAGTTATACACATCATATTGCTATATACCTTTAAAATGACAAAGCATAAAGAACAAAAAATTTTCATTTTTTACTGAACGGTGAAGCCAGATAACACAGATAATGGTAAGGACTGAGTTTTGAGAAAAGAGAGAGCAGAATGCATCCAAAGACTTACATGTTGCTTAAATTAATATGGCTCGGTTCAATAGACTTCTGACAGTTGTTGCCACATAAAGATGACCGCAGTGACAAATCAATATGAACAGTGCCCTTAACTGAACGGCTGATTTCTAGGACTTTGCACTTGACAAATTGTCCTTCATGATACCCAGATAATGGATCAGACATCCATACATCTGTCAATTCCATAAAATGAACCTTACCATACAGGTGTGGGTCAATTTGGACAAGCAATCCACCAACCCCTGGAAGAATTTTGGAAATCCTGCCACCCAAAATATCACCTTTATGAATATGGGAAGTTACATTTTCATTTGAAGGACAGCTCAAATCATCCATCTTAAAAGATTCATCATCAACTGTTCCATCAGGAGAAACAGACAATGGATGAAGCACCAAACGTAACAGCTTTTTCTTCTTATTAGTACTTAAAATATAGCCAGAGATAGCCTTCCCCACATTAAATCGCTTCTGCAACTCCTGGAGCTCAGTCGGTTCACACGCACTGTCAAGAAGATAGAGCTGAGCCTTCACGTTTCGAGATACTGTTAACCAAACCCATTCCTTGTCCACTTTATATACAAACCCACTGACACACTGTCCAATTGAATAATTGAAATCTTCAGTTATAGGCTCGACGCCCATTCCTCTGGAACCTGGATAGATAATGGGCAAGTACTAAGACTCTAATAAATGCAATACTTACTATTTAATTTAAAGAATGGGTAAGTACTAAGACTCTAATCAATGCAATATTTCCATTTTTCAATTATTAGGATAGCATATGAAATTACTTCACTAATGACAGACTTGACAGTTGATAAATGAATTTATAAAAGATCTGTCTACTTAAGCACAATGACAAAACAGGATTAATTCTGAACTCATTCATTGATATTCAGCAATAACATATTTCATAATGCACACTAAAATTTGAAATATATATATATATATATATACACATGAACCAAAAATAATGCGTCGACTAGTGAGTGTCGATAAATAAATTGATAATAAATGTCTTCTTCAGAAGAATGGGAAACATAATTAATGCAGTCAACCAAATATTTAGGATAGGCTTTGTTGAGTCAGATTGAGTACATTTCCTTAAAGGACAGTGATCAACAGAGATCAAAGCAAAACAATAAAAAAAACAATTGGCAGATAATCTGATCAAAGATTGCAGGGTGCTTTCCATGGATCAAGACAGCTGTAGAGAGGAAAGTTGCAAGTCATGTTTCTGTCAATTATATTCCAAATTGCAGCTGTTGCTGGGAAATGTAAGTAATGTTTGTGAAACATATACCAAAGAAGAACATAGAAGCAAGCAATCAGCAGTAGGGAAGGATCCTGATTTTTACATGATACAAGAAATGGGTAGTCATGGTGGTCAAAGGTCACTCTCTAGGGAAGAAAAAGATACAAGTAAATATGACAGTGCACGCAATTATGTAGGTATCCGTGCATTTATGCAAAATAACATGTAAACGCGAATGTGCTCATGAATGCACAAGGATGATCTCGAGAGCTACTCTCAGAAGTATTAACAAGCAAACAAAGCTTTGGAGATTTTCTCCTCTAGAAACCACATTTGGAGATTTTCTCCTCTAGAAACCACATTTCCGTATTTAAGCATTTTAATTAATTAACATTTAGAGAGCTGTGCAACCAAAGGATTTCTATGAACATGATCTATAACAAAAAAAATGTAGGACACGTACATGTGTGGACATGGCTAATATAAATATAAATTTTCATTTATATATCTATTGAATAAGAAAATTATAGAATTTTAATAATTTATAATTTTTAGACTAAAGTTATTATAAGTTAGAAGATGAAGCTATTCGAATATAAAAATTACTACCCTCCTATCGTGTTCATTATAGATATGTTTTTGTTTTTACATACCATGGCGTGTGTATAATGTCAATTTTTTAAAGAAAAAGAGGTTCGACACTTTGATGTATGTTCATAATATTGTCTCAAGACTGTAATGTGCTAGTTTTATATAAGACAAAGTGTAGGATCTGTTGGTCAAGTGTCTGGAATGCGTTGACCAAATGTGAGAGATGTGTCAGTGAAGTATCCAAAGATGTGTCGGCCAAGATTCTGAAATAATAAAAATTACTTTTAAATTTGGGCACGGCCACAAAGCGTTGGATGTGCGTTCGGGAGACGGACACGACACCTTTGTAGAAGTGTCCATGCTTCTTAGATACTAGATGAGAAAATTAATATTCAGGAAACATGCTGTGGGATGTGCATTGCCTATGATAATTTGCTCTGTAGGATGTGCATGGCTGGTATGATGATTTTGAGAACATAATACAGTGGAAGAATCACAATATGAAGAACACAATCCTGGTACAACATTGAGAGACAATCAAGCTGATATGTAGGAAACAAAGAACAATAATCTGTCTACTAGGGATAGATATCTTTCAGGTTGAGCCACTGCATGCGAAGTCAGACAAGAGCATGGCTCCAGGTTACAAGAAACATTACCTAGAGGAAGAAAAATAGAGAAAATGCAGGTCGACTAACCTATCTATTTGGGAAAGAAAATGTCGCTGATAGAGACATAAATTACGCTTACAAGAAGAAGAGTAAAGTTCAAGCACCCCAAAGAAAGAAAATATGATACTCCACCTGTAAGCATTGAGGGTTTCATGGACAATTCCCATTGATAGTTTTTTCTATTATTTTCTGACTTATAAGACTTAGAAATAATCCTTGCGGTCAGTGTTTGGCCAATTCTGAAGCTACTAAAGGGATCTTCAACAACATTATCATCATTTGCCTGCCACAACAAAAGTTTAACTTGCATATTAAAAAATGATTACGAAGTAATAGAACTAAATGTGTAGAAATGATTATCATATAAATCCTATAAAGACGTTTGAATTTAAACATTTCAAAAAGATTCTCACTTCTGTTACATGCACCCTTCCATGAAAACCTGATCCAAATTTCAATCTGACTTCAAGAGGCTTTATTTCGGTAATCTGGAAAAAGGTAGAACAAAATACACATAGATCATTTTGAAATAAAAAGAGTAATACTGATCTAGGCTTCTTCTGATTTAATGATGTTTTTTAATATCGATACAAAAATGTGAATCCCAAAGATAATCAACTTCCGTACCTCTGCTTGAACAAGAGATCCCACATGATAGCTAGATCTCTTTTTTTCCCTCTTCGAACTAGAAGTCTCTGTAACATCACTTATAGATTTAAGTAGCAGTAGCAACCTCCCAAATGTTGAAGGGCTAGGAAGTGCCATGATGGTGGCAGTGACACTGTCAACAAACAAACCATTTCAACTTGCAAGTGTATCGAAATGCATCCACAATTTGCAAGTTGCAAACAGATAAAACCAAAGCAACAACACATGAAACAAATTAAATAACAGAAACAAATTAAATAACAGATGACAATTTTAAAACCAAAGCAGCAAACATCCACCAAATATATGGATGGGAATATCCGCATATCCGAATGTGATATACATAAAATACAGAGAGGACCTATGATATATCAGACAAGTCAAAACTATAGGCCAGCCACATGATGATACTGACTTGAACTCGTACCACCACACCAACACATACCCCAGATACTGAGAACAACATCCCTATTCCACCTTGGTGACACCATAGATCCACCATAAAAGGCTTCAAACATCTTTAAAGGGGGTAAATGGTCTTAATTGCTAATATCCATAAATATTAACTTGGTGGCACCATAAATCCTAACCCCAAGAGCTGGCTTCATTTTGTTTTCCCCTCTTTAAGAGAATCCTTCAAGTTCCGCTGTTTCGAAAACAACCCTTGTTTATTTGTTAGTTCAATACATCTGCCTGTAGTTCTAAGATAGTCTTTTGCCACACAGATAGGACAAAACTTCATGCAACTCAAAGAATATATAATGCAATTACTAAAAAAAATTCAATAAATAAATAAAATGACATATACATTCATTTCACATATAGGCACACTAAGCAAAGCCTACCAAATATTCAACAATAGGAAACACTAAATTCTTAATTTTGAAGTGCTATCCTACATCAAATGAAATTAAAGGGGAAAAGGGGGGTAGAGAAAGAAAAGAAAGACAACATTATATAACTGAAGCATAAAAATATTATCATCAGAAACCATGGCTACCTTTGTCCATTAACAAATTGTTTTGGAGGTAACTTTTGAGTGTTGAAGTCACTTATTGACGCATATCCTATGGTAAAGTTATACTCTGGTAACGAAAGAACCTGCTTTATAGAAAACACAATCAGCAGAAAAGATTGAAGGAACAAACTATGACAGAATTTTTTTTTTTTTTTTTTTTTAAATATATATATATATATATATATATATATATATATATACTATTACTCAGATACTTGCCAAGTAATTCTCTTTCACAATCTCTACTATTGCATTTACAGATCGGTGCACCTCCAAGTCTCTGTGTTCTTCCCTTTTGCGTTTCTGATATAAAGAATTGGGGATGTTAAGCCAATAGAAGACAAACAAATAAAGACCATTACAAAATAATCTTCATCATTGAAGATGAAAACAGGATAATATCTAAGACACAATAGCAAAAATTGTATTGTAAATAAACTTAAATATGCATGGGATCTCCAAATCAACAAAAATCAAACAAACAAACAAAACAAAACAATAACAATAAAAATAACATAGACAGTACAGCTAAGGGTATAACTATTCATTTGTCATCTATAGACTTTCAACAAAGATTGCAAACATTAAGAGAAAGGGGAGAAAATATTTTTAAAGGTAATTATAGAAATCAAATTCATAAAATACCTTCTTGTGAGTTTGGATGTCAGAACTTTTTCCTTTGGATGTATCAATGAAAACCGGTTTTAAAGATAAATCAATAATGCGTTCTATTTTGGTAACATCAAGAACAGCAGCATGAACAGTAGAGCCAATTTCCACAGTATTTCCAGCCACTGCCAAAAAAATTTGTTAGACCAAAAATTAATTGCAGTAGGATAATAATAATCAAGCAATTCATCAATTTTCCCTAAGGACTTACACTGATAGTGTGTAATAAAACCAAAAACATCATTATACTTCTCAAAGCCGACAACAACTCCAAAATCCTTGCAGTCGTGAACTTTTGCCTCAATAACACTGCCAATATTAAATCCTTTAACCCAGTTGAACTCAGAAACTTTAGATTCTGGCGATTGCAGCTTAGCAATCTGCATGACAAATTCAACATGAGTCCAATTTTAGAATAACTACAAACACAATTACATAAAACAGTGATATCATAGACAAATTAATTCAGGGAAAAAATAAAACAGGCATATTAGAATCTCAAAATAGTTAATAAATAAAAACAATAACATAATATATAGTTGAAATTGAAAAGGTACAACCAACAAACTACGGAAATTTGTAACATGCTTTTGACACAAACTGTTAATTCTTGTGAACAATTTGACAATCATAAAAAGAAAAATGAAAATGGAAAGCACAGTATTCCAGATCAGGGAAAATACAAGAATCAAGCTCAAAGTTGAAAAAAGGTTGTTTAACCAAAGCAAGACCAACAGTACCCCCATATTACAATTAAATAGAAAAAAATGTTTCAAAGCAAGTTTCACAGGGAACTTTCCTATAGTTTCTTATGTTTTTTTCAATTCATGCAATATTCAAATTTGAGCATTTAGTAACACCAACGGTACAGTTTCACAACTATTGCTATCAGAAGTGGGAGACCCAAGATTTTTCTTCAAGGGGGGGAAGGCTGGAAGCAATGTAGATGCATGCATCAAATCTTAAAAACCACTAAATATTATCTCCAAATCAAAAGGCAATTTATTGAATTTTCGAATAATATTTTTATTTGGAATTATTTAGAGAAACAACCGAAATTACACATCAAAAAGTAAATAAATAAAAAAAATTAAATCATTTGAAAATTTAAATCATTAGTTCAAAATTATCATCCACATAATCACATGAGCATACCGAACTTCTTAATAAATTAATAAAGATTGGTAAAAGTAAAAGTGGATAAAGATGGTGTCTGGTGTGGGCACCAACTTCACTAGTCATAGCATAGGGTGAAAGAAATTAAAATACCCCGTGTACCATGGCACCGATTTCACTAACCATAGCATTGGGTGAAATAAATTGAAATACCTCGCATTTACTATGGCATACATTTTCTTTTTCCCTGTTCTGTGACAATGCCTCTCACTCTTCTCAATCCTAAACTTTGAGTAAATGAATTTCATAGTTATAGGACCGAATTATTAGATGTTTAGCTTCATTTCAGCTTCAAGAATTTTTTTTGTAATTTTTATCAGTCTTGGAAAACCAAATAGGATTAAAAATTGGGAGAAAAGTCAAAACTATTGTGATTAGATTGGATAAAATTGAATATAAAAGAAGTCAAATCCAATAAAAGGCTGCAGGGAATAAGGAAATAAAGCGAGTTAGAAAATTGTCAGGTGCACCAAGGCACAACAATCAATATTTAATGAAGGAGAGAGGGGAAATGTAACAACCCACTCCACCACATGGTATGATATTGTGTGGGCCGTTACAGGAAAGATAGAAAGAGATCCCATCAGCACTATTTGCCATTGACTACCACCATGACAGAGTGTGTGTATCCCAATTTTTAAGCCACCCAATCCCACAATAGACCTTGGCCAACAAAATTGCAAGTCTGGTTTGAACAGGAAAACCAAGGAATTAACTGGATATTCTTTTGAACATGGTCCATAACTCTCCCTTCCTTGACCACCCTTGAATTGTCACAAAAGGTATCAAATGGCAGGTTAAGAAATGCATTGGGTGTCACTATCCCTTTCGAAGCAATTTAAAGGAATTCATTTTATCCTAGAAACTCTCAAAGATCATAAGAAAAGCAGTAATGCATATTGCATGAATAGGCAGGATCAATTATTGAGAGAGTTTGAAGTATAAACAAGACCGTTTTACATATATATTTATATAATGAATGTCAGTGTCACCTTGTCTTCCAAGAGAAAGTATTCTTCAATGAAGGATGCATCTGTTGAAGAACATAACGACTGCTTCAAAGATAATGTTATTCTGCCCTTCTCACCACTGACCTGGAAGCATAACAAACAAAAGTTTATAACAAAATCCCATCAATGTCATTCTTACAGAAAGTCCATCCCAAATTGTTCACCTACATCAAGTATGTTACTGCGAACAGATTGTCCAATGTAGAAGACTTCAGAAAGGTCGGTTCTTCGGTCATCAGTAGCCTTCATAAAAAAACAAATAAAAAGGAAAAAAAAAAAAAAAACAATGGATTAATTAAACAAGAATATAAAATGTGGCAGCTGAAAAGCAAAAGAGAAAATTACCGTAATAGAAAATCTTTACCTTGTGTCTGGGAGAAAATCCAGTCAAACGCCCAATGAAGCGGACAAAACAACCAGTTTCAATTAAGTTACACACATAACCCTGGTTCAGACATGGATTCAAGAATTGTTTTAGTCCAAGTGAAAATCAACTGCTGAAACATTGTCAACTGTTAACTTTGAAAGCCAAGGGACTGTTTCATAGCATTTTATGTCCTTTTTTGAGGAGTATGTGAGGAGAAGGGAAACATAGGTGTTCAGAGGTAATCAGTGACAGGAGGGAATGAGATGAAGAGATGGGTGAGAAGAGGGGGAAATGGGTTTCAGAAACTCTATCCCGACGGACAGAATCAATAATTGGGAGAGTTTCTATGGACAAAAAAGCTCAGAAAATAAAGTAAAAAGCAGTTCTTACATGGACTATTGCGTTCGGATGAATTTGAGTGAGTTCCAGAGGAAGTTCTTGGGCCAAGTTAATAAGAGAATACTTCGCAGTAAGTATTAAATTGCCACTCTCGATATCTAAAAAAAGAAAAGAAAAAATTCACAATTACAATCTCCAATTCAATGTCAGTTAACAGAACCACTATTTTGGGTTTTGAGGGAGGGAATTAATAACTTCCAAGTTTAGAGGTAACTGACAGAAAAATTTCGACTAAAAAACTATAGGAAACAAGATATTCAAATAAAATAAATAAGACATGAAGTATAAAAAAACACCCAGAACCAAGGCATCAAACTACATACTCCTCACAAGGAAATTTCCAAGTGAACATTACACATTCTTAACAATGACCACAATAGATAAGAAATTTAATATTATTTTTGTCAATTCACCATGAAAATGTTTCTTTAGTGATAAAGTTAGAATCACTAAAGAGCACGGAGGCATGGAATGCAAGTGCAGACTTTGTATATAAAAAAGGAAAAGGGAAGCCAAAACCCCAATGAGAGGCAAAAAAAAAAAAAAAAAAGGACCACATATCTCAGCCTCACTAAACGATTTACCAAAGTGGCTGTGAATTAAAAAATAGTTTAGACATATACATTACAAACCCATTAACCAAAAAGGTTATGCCAATCCGTGATGCTGAGAGGAATATACCATTTACACACGATTTGGTCACACTTGAAAGTCTAGACATCAACCTTTTTATTTCAAAAATCACATAAAAGAAACATAAATGTTATGCCCGACAAGTGTAAAAATACATTAATCCAGTCCGACTTTGACATCTATGCTACTGCATCAATTTTCTGGAGCATAACTCAAAAAAGATAAGGAAAAAGATGCATATTCATGCATGATAATGGTCCGAAAGGACAAAGATGCATATTCATGCATGACAATGGTCCATAATGCTTAATAATCCTAGCACCTATAAGAAAAGTGACTGATATTACATCATACATAGACCGGTACACGTGCGAATGTGGGTGTACAGGATCTGTAAAATACCCATATAAAAGGATAAGGGGACATGAGAAAAAAAAAAAACAAAACAAAACAAAACAAAACAAAAACAAACATATTTCTTAACATTTTTCCTTTATTTCATAAGGAAAACGATGCTTTCATATCACGTAAAGCATTCAACATGGATACTTCTCGTTTTGAAAAACAATGCAACAAAAGTAACAATACTATAGTTTTATGTAAGGGTAGCAATTTGTGTTTCCATGTCATATTCATGTCATGTCATGATATGGGTATCCAGATATATGGGTCAATATGAACACAACACGTGTCTTGTTCGTGTCAAAAGACACGATTATTAAAGGAGTAATACATCACGACTCGTGTAACCTGTTTAATAAATGGGTGAAGACCTGAAATGACACTGCCAGACGCATTTAATTAAACAAGAAGCATGACACATTTACCCGACATATACAGATCATTTCTAACACAAGCATGACATGTTTAACCATGTTATAAACAAATTGGTGAGTCAAACACGACAAATTTAATTAGCACATCAATTTGGGTCGGCACGATTACAACAAACTCATTCACTTATCCCCTGCCATGTTCAAGTCGTGTTAGCGTGTCCTGTCAAGTATTTCCACCCCTAGTTTTATGTACTATTATATAGTAAACTTGAGATATACAATTGGGTCCATGTCCAAACAAACATGTCATTCATACGCACATCACATTTGCATATCAAAGTGTTGTGTGTACGACATGGGAATGCCATGTATTTAGTAAGAAATCTATAGGACATAGCCCACTAAACAACAACATGTGACTAGAAGATCCTTCTACAACATCATCATCATCCTTGCCTTTCTCTTTCTACACCAAGTTTATGTAATTCAAAAGCAAATCTGACAATTCACAATAAATTTTGTATCAAAGTATCATCTATTTAAAGAAATCTATTATCTTGTTATCTCAATCAAAAGAACTCAAGTTTCATCTTTATCTATCCACAAACAACTATGGGATTTCAATATTTTCATAAATTTAAACAAATATTAAGTCAATGAATTCACTTCATTCATTGCACGTGCTCTTTTTCTTTTTCGAGAAGAGTTTTCTATCTGGATGGTATTTCTTGGGTAATTAGGTTACATTACTACTTTTCAGGAATCTTTTTCAAGGCTTCAATTAAGGAGATAGATGCAAATCATTGAGGGAGAATGCAACATCGGCTGTTAGTCAGTCTGTACCGGGGGGAAGTAATTTTAGAATTTTCGAAGAGAAGCATCTAAAAGAGAAAGCTGTTTAAACAAGATCATCTTCTTGACTTCATTTTGGGTCTCAATTACCAAGATGTTTGATCGAGTCCGTCATAGCATTATTATATCAGATTGGATTTTGGATTTCTCTAGAAGTAAACCTAAAACTAGATTTTTCCCCAAAGGGGTAATCATTGTAATTCCGGGAAAAAGGAATTGCAAGGATTATTGTGGACCATGACGATAACAATGCTCCTACCTTTTCTAGATTGGCTGACTCAAACTCGCTACAAAACTGTATTCCAGCATTATTAGTAGAAGGTAATGCCTCAACTCAATTCTTGTTGATTGTTTGAAGAAGTATTGGCCCCTGGAGACCAGTCACTTCTTTCTTGAGATTAGTAATTCAGCCAGCCTTTAGAAGTGGATTCCAGTTGTTCAAGGGTCAAAAAAAATTTAGGCTAACTGAATTAAAAGAGAAGAAAAAACCTCCTTACTTTCAGGGATCACTTCTAACCTTTGATGCATACTGTATCATCAAGTGTTTTTGAATCCTCCTCTCGCATCCTTCCTTTAAAAACGGCTCATTTTCACAAATTAAAAAGCAATTTATTAGATTGTGAGTGATCCCTCTTAATTGAAAGTGCTAGGATGGATAAACTAGAAACAAACCTAACATTTGGCAATAATATGCACAAAAACATGCTCTCAGGATTCGAGCCCACATTCTCATCTTTAAGCAACTAAATAGATGAACCATTCAAAAAGGCACTGAAATTTTTGCCATTACAACAGCTAATAAGGACATGAAAGTAATCCTAATTAACATAATCTGGCCTCTAATAATATTATATTTATCTAGCATTGTCAAAGTATCTGATCCTGGCCATATTAAACACAAATCAGCGGATTTGCAGTACGTACTTCATCCCAATTTAATAGTCCCTCTTCAGGATTCCAACATTTCAAATGCATTGTCCCCTTTTGAAATTTCCAAATTACCCTTTGAAATTTAAATATATATACATATCGTCAAGTTGGGAAAGCTTTCATAACTTAAAGGGTGTTTATGGAACGATGAAATTGTCTCACTTTTGACTTTTCAAATGGGACAATTAAATTAGGACAGTCAAAATGAAAAGGGAAACATTTCATTGGTAACTAAATTGAGATGGAGGGAATAAGTGTCTCGCAATAAACATTTCATTGGTAACTAGAGTGCAGTGTTAGTATGAGAATTATGTCATGTATATTGTATATGGTACATGCTACTTTTAGAAGTCGTGTATTCCAACAAACAAACAATATCTCCCAAATGTCTAGTGTCTGCACAGAAGAATACAGAGGCATCAAAATAAACATTCTCAAGTTACTAAAAGTTATTTTAAACAAGAAATGAAATATGTTGTAGGCATTTATAGGAAAAAGAGATTGTGAAATACCAAGGACCAAGAGTTGATCAAACTCATATCCTGGCTTCAAGACTGACATCATCAACACTGCAAGCCCTGTTCAGTTATAGAACAAAAATCTAGTAAATAATGAAGGGAAAAAAAAAAAAGCCACCATGAAGAACCAACCTTGTCAAGAAAACAGAATAGCATACCCTGGTGATCTGACAAATGTTCCAGAGAAATTGTACCCTTCATGTAACCTTTTGAATTGACATGCACTACTATCGCATGTGCTGTTATTTGCTCCACAACTCCAGAAACGAGGCTGCCCAACTTGACCATATCATCTTCAGAATTCCTATCCGTAGAAAGAATCTCAATCCAAATTAGTGAAATACTTGAGATACAAACTTACTGGATAACCATAAAATTTCAGTTGTAAACAATTGTTTGTTTAAAATAAATAAATAAGGAAAATGGGCCAAAAAAACCAATTGGCAAATATGGATGAAGATAAATGGATTTGTAAAAGGAAAATGCACAGGCAAGCATAGAACGTTTATCCAAAAACATCATACAATAAAAAATATATATACAAGTTACATTCAACACCAATCACAGAAAACAAATAATCAACACACATTAATAACTCACTACTGATACATGAGCCAATACATGCTTGCCTTCCCAACTTGTAATATATAATGGATACAAGAAAAATCTAGATTTTATGTTCACAAATTAATCAGCAAACCTGGCAACCATCTTTTTATTTCTCTCCCCCAATTCATATTTGCAATACAGGTTATTAATTCTCAAGTTGTGCAAGCATTTTGAAAGTGATGCAAGCTTGTTCATCACTTTCTGGATTGAAATACCAATGAACTGCAACCCAAAAACTCTTTTAACCAATGTCAGGTTACGATCTGAAAAAATATCATGAAGGCCACAACATGAAATAATCCAATACCTTCAAATTGTGAGGCATTCAAACCATACATGAGTCATCTCAAGTTCATAATGATACTTTTCCCCAACATATACCCCTCACTACACATAAAATTTGTTAAATTACTTATCTATCCAAAAACAGCCAGTGATATTAGACAAATCTTACAATGCACGGAAGAAAATATAAGAAACATATTCTTGCTTGTTAAATGACAAAAAACAAAATCAATATGCACCTCACATTGACCATATATCATATAACATTATAAGATCTAAGAAATAGGCATATACTGCATAATATATGTACGCAATTCAATTCAGAAATTTATTTCTTTTAAGAAAAAACAACCAGAAAATCACCTTATTTGCAGTTTATAAAAGGAATATTTGGAATATAACAATTTTCCTTTACTTTAATGATTTAGAGGGATGCAGCTGACAGAGAAAGAGAGAGAGGAGAGAAAATTAATTGAGTGTTCCTCAAAAGATACTCAAAATTTGACGCATTTCTGAAAATAAAATCTGCCATTCTCGGTAAATCTTACTAACTAGGAAGCCAGAACATGGAATTTGGCCAAGTAATGCGATGCCATCAGAACCCTTCCATGTCCAGTGAGATACTCAAAGCAGAAGACCAAAATCCAGAAAAGAAAACCTCAAACTATCCTAACCCAGATATATCAACTCTACGGAATAGATCCTCTATTCCTCTCCTTTCACATGGCTCAAGATGCAGAGAAAGGAACGATCATCAATATTCAAGCCAGAATAAATACCACTATTGAAAACCTTGCAAAGAATGAACATAATTATACTCAAACATGTATTTTTCCCACCACTATATTTGACACTTTAACCTATATTTTGTGGACAGTTTTGTATCCTTGTTGAATAACAGAGGCACCAAGAAACCATGTAAAATTATTAGGAAGCAAACCTGGGACGTGTTATAATGAAACTAAGGTTGATCCGCCGTGAAGCAGGAAAAGATCTTGTAACTCTGCATTTGATAACTTGTTCAACATGATACATAGAACTTGTGTCACACCCTGGTTCTAATCCAAGTTCAGATCTGGGTCAAAAAGAACAACAAGATGTCAACATACCTCAATAATCAAATTAAATGAGAAAACAGAACATCAAGTGAGAGTGTAGTCAAACAGGAATTTCCTACATATTAATAGAGGTGGGGAGGACGGATCAATTATAAAAGCGACAAAAAGTGCTTGACCTCATGCACCCACGCACACATCTACGATCTAAATCAAATTTCCTCAAGAAATTCTTATTCGAAGGGAAAAAAAATTGCTGATAACTGCACTGCTCTCCAACACTAGTCAATATCTATTGATTCTTAGATATGTAATTTGCCATGACCCGTGTTGCGCCATTACCTGTGTTGCTGTCATCTAAATCATAGGCATATACCAAATTAAGCAAATAGTGAACCCAAGACTACAAATTATGAAATTTTGTGTAGTCCTTGTTTCTTCTCAGAATCTCAGTTTTTCATTGCAAGGTCTATTGTGCATTATTAATCCCACATACGCGGGGTGTTGGGAAGGGAAGACTGGAAGCTAACATAACCATTGGTACTACTTTGCACGGAGTAGTTGCTCTCGGACTCGAACTCAAATCACCATGTTTACCAATCCAAGCTTTTACCATTGCACCTTGCAATAGCCCCTTATCTATATTAAAAAAAAAATCTTTTTTTTAATTAAAGGCTAAATGTATGCATATATCAGGACTATCTCTGATAGCAGACAATAGATGTTGTGCATATAAAAAGGCAAAAGATAAAAATAAATAAATAAAATGTCAATGTAATAGCAAGGTATATTACAAATTGCATAAGAGCATAAGGAAGATAAAAATAAATAAATTATAGTTAATCAACTAAATAAAACAATTACAAATCATCAAGCCAATAAGAAACGCCAACAGCACCCTTTTTTCAAGAAAACACTAAAATACAGCACAATAGATAGACAACACTGCATCAGATAAAGAGACAAGATGTTCCGAGAGCAGAAAATGAAATTTATCTTTAACAGGCAACAGGAGTTCGCAATTGCTATAATTACCAAAGCAGGAAAGCAGCCTTACAATAAAATACCAATATCAAAAGGTTTTAACCAAGAAAATATAGTTTCTAGTTTACTATGTACGGAGGGCTAAACGCATAAAGACAAAGGGGAGTCGCTGAAAGAGAAACAGGAGCAGATGAGGGCAAAAAGTGAAAAGGAAATTAAGGAGGGAGAAAGGAAAATATAAGAAAAAGAGGAGTATTATGTGTGCAAATAAAAGGGGTACATTACACACACACACAAACAGAGAAAGACAGAGAGACGAAGATATTTTGGAAATTTGCCAAAGATTTGAAGAACCTTCTAGGCTAAAAGACATTAATACTCACCCCCAATTTTTCCTAATGGTTCCACCAAGCCAAGAGATAAGAAAGGTGATTAAGGACCTAAACTAACCTACTGCTCTATTCACAAAAAGAAGCAGCCCTTGGACTAGAACAAATGTTTTAGCTAAAGAAAAACACAGATCTTTGAAATCACTAAACAAAGATTTATAATAAGATGAACAAGAAGATTATAATAAGATGAACAAGAAGACTCCGTAGGGAGAAGTAGAAGAAAGCTACCACCAAGGGCTATAGCCTACTGATGTTTTCTTTTCTTTCCAATGTGGAAGGTGTACAAGTCCCCGTGGGGACATAATTGCCAAGGTGAAGAAAAGTAGAATAAAACTTAAACAGTAAATCTTTCCCTTCAAATAAATGTTAAAAAAATATAAATAAATAAATAAACACCAACAATTAGGATACTAAGATCTGGCGTGCATCAACACCCACAAGCATTATTAACCACAATAACACAATTTATCATAAATTTATTCAACGTACGCTACTTGAGAGCCTTTCACCATTCAGGTTCAAAGAGACATATCCTCTGCTAAATCTTTGACAATCATGTCTCTTTTCACTACCTATCCCATATTCTTTATAGCTTTCTTAATCTTCTGGGCACCTTTAACTCTACATCACACCTCCGTATCAGTGCGTTTATTGATTTTCTTTAAGGATGCGCAAATAATCTAGATATCATCCCCTTAATATTCTTCAATGGGCCATTAGCCCAATGGTATAACCTCTCCTCCCTCAAAAGGGAGGTGAAGGTTTTACCCCTGTAGTGGGCAGTATGTTAAATGGGTGTGTGACTACTCACCCAACAAATATATATATATACATGTATGTATGTATGTATGTATCTTCAATTGGTAACACCACAATTTCTCACAAATCTATGTATCTATTATTCTATGTTTTCTGGTATTATCGTTTACTGAGAAGTGATCTCACTAATAGTGCTAAAGAGAGAGTCTAAGCAGGCACTAGGAGAGCACTCCGGTGACCCAGGCAAAGTTAACCAAAGCCTGCCAATTAATGTGAGATTAATGAGATTTTGGTTTTGCAAATCTTCAAGCAGATCCAGAAACAAACCCAATTATCAACTGTTCGCTTCACCTCATCTCAAGGAACAGTCAGATTAGAGTATCAGAAAGTTCTGATTATATGACAAATCTTTGCACCAAAACCAACAAGACCATAAGCAAATAATGCCTTAATCCTATAACTTGAGGCGATAAATCAATTTGAATTTTCATTTCAATCAGTCAAAAAGCATAACCTCAGTAAACAACAATCAAAACCATTCTCATGCAAATGAAGAAAAAAAATTCTAAAATAGTCAATTAGAGAAAGGTGCCAAGAACTTTATGTTAACATTCATCATGCAAAATTAGATTTCACAGAAGAGAAACATAGAAACTATTTAGGAAAATGACACAGATAATAACAACATTTCACAATTAAATAAAGCAAATGAGATAAAACTGATTTATGGATGGTTTTCTTGAACCTGGGGGCAAATCCTTGTACTCCATTGTAAAATCGGACAAAGCACCCAAGCTTTTCAATCTTCGTTATCCATCCATGTGTTACTAAACCTTCAATTGCATCAGCATATGAACCAAGAATTCCAAGCTTCGATTTCACCTGACAACACCAAAACGCTTGCATTAGGAGAAGAAACTTAAAGTACTTTTTTAGAAACCAACAAAAAAAAAAGAAAAAAAAACATTGCATTTAAAAAATGAGTACAAGGCACATTAAGAATCTACGATGGAAAAAATAAAAGAAAAGATACAATTAATAGGAGGTGATATCCATGAAAATCTAGAGGCAGCACCAAAAAAAAAAAAAAATTAAGGTAAAGCCACCTCTAAAGGGTTAGTGATGAACAGGAACTCCAAAAATGTGTAAAAACAGGAGACAAAGACCATAGAAAAAGACATCATCACCAATGACCTTATGGAAACAGGATTGTTGAATCTATCTTAAGTGGTAAACGTTCAACCTTCATCAAGTTGAATTAAGTTGGGACTTGGGACCCCAATATAAACCAATCTATAACAAAGAAAAAAGAAAGTTAAAAACTATAGTACTATACATTAGTACAACAGCTCATTCAGGTATTAAACTAAGTATGCCACTTACAAAATCAAGAGGCATATTTGCGCATATAATTATAACCATAATAAGGGTAATACAAGGTGACCACTTGTATGCTTGTCATATACTCTACACCGATCTAACAGCCGAAACCAAGGCAAATCACAAAATTCACAGAAGGGCTGTACAATCAAAGGTTTTCAAATTAAACCTATAAGCATCAGGGAAGAGAGTTACATTTATCTTCAACAACTTTCTTGTTCTACACCTTACAAGTGCACCACAAAGTACAAGAGTAGTGAAAATTGCAATTACCCTAATAGATGAATTGCCAAATGAAGCAATGAAGGATGAGATTGAACAGTTCTGTGCCATTCATGAGCCTGCAACACCTACTAGAAATTTTCCAGACCCAACTTATAAGTCTGCTATCAAAATTAATACTTGCTAACTTGATACATAGAGTAGGCTCAACATGACGGCTGATCAGATCCTCAAAGTACCTTTACCCGGAAATGGAATTCCTAATTACCCTCTTATCAAATTCATCATTATCCCACAACAGTCAAAACCAAACATACAAAATTCTTTAACCACCACTAAAGGCCTAAGACAGAAACTTCTTTCGGACCGCCAATAAGAAAGATTTCAGAGTAGTGGAGCTTTAAATGAGCATCTCTCCAAAGTATTACTCTACACGCCAAACATACTACAGAACTCCAAATCCACGTCATGCAAATACTCAAAACAAATGGTTGCATACTTTAACCCCAAACCTCCATAGGGAGTGTTAAATCACTTTTAAATTAATTAAATGGTTTGAATTACTTGGCACACCCCATACAAGAAATCACTTGAGCTCACTTCCAATATAATACCAACAGAAAACAAATCATAAAGAGCAACCTGAAAGATGTTACAATGACCCCATTATAACTTCTACTAGAAGCAATCTCACCTCATCTAGATGAGTAATTGGCTTCTACCCTGAACATATCTCCAAAACCTATCCAAGGAGCCCAAAAATACCATGAACTTCACTTTACCACACAAGACAATTCAGGTATGTGGTTGGTGAGAACCCAACAAGCACCGAAAAAAGGATAAAACATGTGCGTATCAAAATAAGCTAGAGTAGTTAACAGCAAAAGATGCCCTCAAGGCACTCAGGCCCAGAATTGCCCCCAAGGCACAAGGCACCACAAGGTGCTAATTTCAATATTTTTTTTTTTTTTTTTGATTAGTATAATTTCAATATAATTCATTTATATATGTGAAATTAAAGTCCATTTGAGCTTCTCCTTGGAATATTTACGGAATCTCCATGAATAGGATTTGCTTTGAGGAAGAGGTGAAATATAATCAACTTGAATTCGGGACCTCTATTCGAAATCTTAGTGAAACACTGGATTTGATACAAAGTATCGAACCTATGAATCTATTTACTATTTTTAATTTGTGATTCCGTAAATTAGTCCTTGAAACTTCCAAAATAACCTATACTAACTGAAAAAAATTAACAAGTTCCACCGAACAACCCATATTGTTAGATCATCAAATTTTTTATTTTTTTATTTTTACAAAGGAAAGAGGGGGAAGGAGAGGGACAAAATTCAAAATTCTGGAACATCAAATAAAACAAAATGAAAAATTGATGCTACAATCATCATCTATTCGACATATGAACTTTCATTGCTTCCACCAACGCTAGATTCATAACCTTCAAACTTCGTTTCAGTCTATTGAATCAAATGGGATCGAGTACCAAGTAAAACAGGAATGACTACTTATCAAAAAAAAAATAGAAACAGGAATGACCAAAAATATTAAATGAAACTTTTAAGCAACTCATACCAAAGATCTTGCTTTTGTTTCACTTCTTTTTTTCTTCCTCTCCTCTTCTTATTCTTCCAAGCTACTAGAGAGTCAGAGACACCCAGGCCCTAGAGAATAATTAAGTACAATGTAGCTCTATTTCATTTGGCTTGGTAATGACATTCTGGGTAAAAAATGCGCCTTCTGGAAAGCTGTAGGCATTGTTTGATGCAAGAAATTAAATTCTAGAAAAAGTTTTAATTTGGGTGACTTCACCCTCAACATTCTGTGCTCAAACACGCTGTTGAAAAAGCAATATTAACTAAATCTGCCTTGTGTGGGTATCTCAACACTTAAAGGTGACATTTAGCCGGCACATCTCACCAGTGCTTTCATTTAACCTTTGATACTTTTGAGATATTTTTTATATTGCAAAATATTTTTGCATGGCAACCTTCAAAAACTTTCTTAACGTGCACCATGATTTCTGGGGCTCTTCCAGGAGTTGATTCTCGGGATTTTTTATATTGCAAAAAAAAAAAATTTGCATGAACCTCCAAAAACTTCCCTAATGTGCACCATGATTTCTGGTGCTCTTCCAGGAGATGACAAACGGAAAGTTCATTCTCAGGATAAATTATTTGGATTGCATATAACAGTGACAGATTTAGAGAACATATGAATTACTAAGGTCAAGACAAGAGGAACACAAGCCAACAGAGGAGAAGGACTCAAAGGCATAAAATGGGGTACCAGAAACACACTTAATAAACCAAAAGAACACTGTCATCAGGAAACTATAGTCACTATACATGTATCTCAGTAGTAGAGAACATTTAAAGGAACTGATAATAGTAAACTTTGAAATACCACTAAAAGAAGCCAAACCAAAACACAAGGAAAAAAGAAAACAAAAACAAAAAGTTATGAAGACTTTTAGCAGCCTGAATAGAAGCATATATAAATCTCAAATCAAGGCTTTGTCAACGTCACTCAGATCCAGAATAGGGAATAAACTTGGGCCAGACCAACCTGTGCCCATCCCTGTCTATGGATGGGCTTACCCAACTCTTTAGTCATTCAGATTGGCCTTGGAATGAAAATTTTCTGACCGACCTAGCCTTTGGGTTTAGGCTTTGGGCGGTGGTGGTGCACATATCTATTATTCAGGTTGGGTTGGATAGAAAATTTTCAAAAGACAAACCGGCTTGAATTGAAAATTTTCAAACAAACCTGGAATTCGGGTTAGGTTTGGGTAATGTTGGTGTTCTCTTTTGCTATTCAAAATGGGCTTGGATTGAAATTTTTCAAACCACCACCACCATCATTGTCTATTATTAGCGGAAGACCAAGACTTGTAGTGGTAGTAGTAGTAGCAATATTATTTAATATTAACAATCCAATCTAACCCAATCAACTCTAACCTAATACGGTTTTAGAAAATAAACTCGTGTTAGACTTGTTAGGTTGGAGACTTGGAGGTTGGGTTGAATTCCAGCTACCTTAGGCTCGAGTTGACCCTTCAGCCCACCCAAGTTGCAGTCATATATACCAGCACAAGACTCATTCTTCCCCAGACAGGCATCACTCATGGTATGGAGCAATGAGACTCGCTTATAGCTTCTCCGGTCAATTCATTCAAAAATCTCAAAACCACAAAACAAAACAATCAAATAAAAGAATTTGAAGTTCAAAGTAGAATTCAGCTACAACCACTGAAGGAATTCGTTACAGAAGCTTATGAGAAGGCCAAAGGAGGTTTAAAAGCATGCAACTGACAAAAACCAAGCTGAAAAAGAGGAATAATGTAGTTGGAAAATGCATACTAGTGTTTTCTTGTGTGTAACAGTAATTCTCTTGGACTTGCAACCAAGCACACGGAACAGTAGTTCAGATCCAACCTGCACAAAATAACCAAATGTAACCACAGCATTAGACAAAATTACGAACAAAAGAATTATTCCTCTTATCAAAAGAAAAAGAATTATCCCCCTTACCAGCACTAGATAAAATCAAAAACAAAATAATTATCCCTCTTATACAGGGGGGAAAAGAAGAAAAAGAATCATTTCTGCTCTGTTATTTAGTTCAACAGTCAAAACAATCCAGTAAACAAATGCAGAAATGAAACATCTTAAAAAGGACATCTCGCTAGGAAATGACCTGGAATTTTTTTCTAGGCTTCACTATTTCAAACTCTGACATGTGTCGAAGAGGACAAAGTGCCTTCACACCACTAGGAAATTGCACGATAGCCCCAAAACTGTCAACAGCAATGACTTTAGCCTTGACCAGCATTCCAGGCTTGACATCTGAGTGAGTGAAAACTGACCCTTCAAATGCACTAGTCTGCTCAGAAGAAATACATAAAGACATAATCAAGTATCAGAAGCAAAAGTACGTCCACCGTAAACAGCAAGATTCGTTTTGGATAGTAATCAAGACAGCAAAACAAACCATTTGCTTCCTACTTCTTAACAAACATATGCACTCCTTTAATCACATATCAACTAACTCTAAGTAAAATACACCTCAGAATGAATCTCCCTCAATATTTATGGGAATTGATCAGGAAGCATAAAGAAAGTGGTGACATTGTACCACTATTAACAGTAGCACGATATCTGCTCCCCCCACCCACCACATGTTAACTAACTATTCACCCTAGGCAATCACTCAAATAGACTAGACACAGTAATATGAAGAATGATACCACGAATTACCAGTTGATGGCTTAAGAATGGGTAAATGGTAGATGGAATGTGACTAAACCATTTGTGTTAATGTACAAGAGCTTTTTGAGGATAGAACTGAATATTAATGGAAAAGATTCATCATAATAATTTAGCATCCTTTCCAAAGTCCAGATCAAGAAGAACTCTTTGTATGGACAAGATATTCTACAAAACCACAAGTAAGATTTTGGCAAACCACCATATGATATCTCTTTAGAAATTACAGAATTTTTTTGAGAGATGAAAGAGTAAAAAGAGATCTACACTGAACACGACATTGAACACACTCAACTGCTCCTCAACATTAAAATTCTAAATCCCTGAAACTTTAAGAAGAAAAGAGTTCCCAAAAAACTTTATTGTTCAATCAAATTAAAGGGAGCCTCAAATCTTCTGAGGTGCACAAAAACAATTTTCCAATTTAGGGCTAAAACCTAAGCCACATGCCAACTTCACAACAAAATAGCATTACTATTGCATATATAAGAATGGTCGTATTACACTGAATTCCACCATTGCAAGTTCTTATATTACAAATGCAATACCTACATCAGTTCATGTAAGAAACAAAGGAAAACATATATAAAATAAGGAATGAAATCCAAGAAACATAGTATAAATTTGATTAGAAGAGCACCATTAAAGAGCCAAAACTTCCCAACCAAACTATAGCACAACCTAAAAAGTCAAGCTCAAGAAAAAAAATTAAAGAGAAGTAGAAGAAACCTTTAGAACACCCATAGCGAGACCTTCTAAGTGTCTAAATCCAAGAATTCGAACACGAACATTGCTTCCTTCCTTAAAATTTCTTTCCAACTTCCGCACTTCCTTGTCAGCCACATCAGATACCTGTAATCCTCTTAAAATAATCACCATCACAAATGCAGGTGAAAGGACTGCATAATCAATATAAACACAACAACTGAAGCTGGATTGTGGACTTACACTAACGTATGCTGGGGTTGGAACTGGAGAAGAAGGGATTTCAAGCAGAAGGCCAAATCCTCTATCAACTCTAACTACTTTTGAGTGGTCGAATATGTCTCCAGTTTTAACAAGCTGCATTTAGACCAAAATTTTAGCACCACGACAAATCATGTCACAATCAATTTGCTATGAAAATAAAACAAGTTAACTCATCATAACAAAAAAAAACAAAACGTACAGAAAAAGGAAAGCAAAAGAACCAAGCCCAAAAAGAAAAGGCACAGAGAGGTGAAGAGAGGGCAGACAAAACAAAAAAAAAATCAAATGAAGCCCAAGCTGGGCAGTTGGATTGTTGACAAAACAAGTAACAACCCCAGGTATGGCAGACTCGGTGAGTGAACCAACCCGTTGACAAGACAAGTAATAACCCCAGGTATGGCAGACTTGGTGAGTGAACCAACCCGTGAATACTAGTAATCAGTAAAAAAGTAATACGCTGCTTGTTAAAATAAAAGGTAATTAACTGGAAATTTAATATACTTTTGGGAGATGAACAAAAAAACATTCATTAAATGTAAAAATTACCAAATAACAATGTTAGGTGACATAAAAAAAAGTGTTTTGAGGAAGACCAGAAAAAACAATTCTTGATTATGGGGTAAGGACCCATTTAACTTTTTCAGCCAAAAAAATTGGACAAATTTTCTTAAATTCACCTGAAATTCGGTAAAATTAAGTCACAGCTTATTAAAAATAGATCAAATAAATAAATAAATCACAAGACGTTCCGAATTCAGTGTATTTCAATATTAGAAGTTCTTGCCCAGATTGATTATGAATTAATTCAACAATGCATTTTTAAAACCTTGATTTGAAATGCCTGATAACCAAGCCTAAGAATCACAGATCCTAGCCCACCACAATTCCAAGCCTAAGCCCAGAAATTTACACAAGCTACTTCCAAACAACCACCTCATGTTTATTAAGAAGACCAACAGGGGAGTATAACAACCCCTCCTTGCAAGCGATTATTTAAAAGCTTGGAATATTCAAGGAGCAAGCTATGAATTATCATCGTGTAATATACTTACCGAAGGTGGAGCCTTGTTCTGGACAAGGTGAGGATTCAGGGTCAAACCAACAGCTCTAGTTGAGGGATCAACAAATAATACCCGAGCATGGACCTAAAAGCAAGATAATAAATACTAGTTCAAATAAAAAACAAAGAACTCAAGGAAGTTCGAGAAATATTTAATATCAGTATATAGAACTTGACTGGCCAAAATACCAATACCACGGATTAGATATGAAGATAATTACCAGCAGCACAACAAATAAGTTGGGAAATAAGATTATACAAACACCATAAAGAGCAGTACACACATAAATGATAAACTATAAACATAAAACTGCAAAGAAAACTATTGCCCCTACAAGGTCTATTGAATTCCACGGACCCACCTATACAAATATACCAATGTAACATGTCGAAGTCATATACTTTTAATGATGATAGTACCTTTCCTTTTCTCTAATTGAAGAGATGTAACTTCACCGTCAAATAATAAATATGGTTCTACTATTAAAAAAATTCTAATGAAGAAGTATACGGTAAATTAACTCTTTCAGCCTTCCCAAATAATTTTTTTTTTTTTTTTTGATAAGTAAAATTGTATAAAAGTGCTCGGAAGGGGAGCGGAACCCGAGAGAAATACACGAGATCACAAGGCGCCTCTAAGCCTTTAGAGAGGCCAAAAAATCAACAATCTCCTCTAAAGATCTATGATCTCTCCCTGAAACCCAACAAAAAAGAGTGGAAAGCATAGAGAACTTAAGCATATAAGGTGCAAATTGTAAAGACTGTTTAATCCAGTATACATTATAAATAATTTTTCTGGCTATGACATTCTTTAAATGAACCACAGCATGCCATATTGGCCAATTCATGCGTACTTGTTAATTCAAATCACATTATCAGTTACATAATAAAATTGATCGATTGATTTATACCAGAGTAAAATTCAAATTTCATATTGATTCTATCTACAGTAAATTTCAAGTTCCAACACAATGGCACACCCTTGAAAATATGAAATCGGAACATGCATTACAACATAACATGATTTACTATGTAAGTTCCAACAACAACAACCAAGCCTTATCCTCAACCACTTGGGGCCGGCTACATGAATCCTATGTTTCCATTCCTCTCCTTTAGTCTTGAAGCTTCTTAACTAACAAATTTGTTAGGAGTTACAATAGTGGTAACTGATTCATGATGAACTTCTTTCCACATCAAAAATATGCTATTAAAAGTTTTTCCACTTAACAAAAAAAGGTATTAACGTTTTCACAACTTCTACCAGATGTTTAAAGTTATATTATGCATTCAATTGGTTTAATTAACCAATATTAATAAAGGGGCAAATTACATCCAAGAAATAAATTTCAAATCATTATCCGATTTCAAAAGCTAATATGGTGGGTTCAAGCTAACATGTGATACAATGACTATCAAAAAAAAAAAAAAAAAATTTGGCAAGAGAGAACAAGATACCTTCTTATTTTGACTGTAATCATCCCTCCAGTTTGCAGTAGGAAAAGTTTTTTGTAAATGGAATATATCAACCTATTAAAAATAAAAATAAAAAATGGTTAATCAAGCTGGTAGACATTCACGACAATTAATAATGTGAAGTAAAAGCATCGACACTGAAACTCACAGTTCCTGTAAAATAGGTGAGGAATGATATCATTATTCCATTTTCAAGGATTGATTGTACACAAGCATTAACCATCATGCCTGGAACAAGAAGATCAAGTGAAATGCCCTTAAGATCTGTGGTCTGCAGAGGAGTACAAAAATGAAATGTTAAAAAATAAAAACAATTAAATTGCATAAGAAAAAGACAACATAACAAGAAAAGTATAAAGAGCAATGACATAAGGCATACCACACACTTGGACACCATATCGAGGTCAGAATTCAAATAAACTACTTTACGAGTTCTATCAATGCTTTTAACCACCCCTTGTAGAAGTTGTCCAGTGTTCACCGTCATGTCCCTGCTTTCTGTCAAAACAAGAATTTTACTCGAGATGCAAATCAGAAGCTACAACTTCAGGATACTCCAGACCACACTGCCAATAAATTACCAATTGAGTGTGAATGCCCCAATGGCAAAAGAAAATGCAATATAAAAAGAGAGGAGTATCTGGTTACAGCAACCCACAGAAAGATCAACACTGTCGCTGCTAGACAACAGTTCCGGGGATATTTTGATAAGATAAAAAGGAAGAAAACATATATAACAAAGTTGCTACCAATCAAAAATTTAAAGACCTATAAAATTTCCTGGCAGCAAGCAAGGAAGATCATATGCTTGAAACAATGCCACCAATGGACTTCATTTTTGGACTTCTTAGTACCAGCTCAAAAGCTATATCAGGAACCGTGTTTACTTGAAAGTAGTTAGATAAAGAGCCATCCATGATGCAAGATGAAGCTCATTCTTTTTTATTTTTCAGTAGTACAAAAGCCCACACTATGATTGCGTATGGTAATACAATGGTCATAAATTGTCTTCACAATCCACAGAACTCTCAGAAATCCCCTCAAAAATAATTATATAGAGATCTTAATTACAAAGAGACGGATAGATCCAACTGTTTCTGCCCTTCAGATGTTAACTTAGTCTATCACATGTGGAAGTCAATTCTTTTTTGCAGATTGGCAGAATTTCTGCCTAATAAAAAATAAAAAAATTAAGAGGGGATGTTTTAATATCTTAGGTGATACATAAACCATGAAACATGAATCTGATAGATCAATGGTCAAGTCAATCAAGAAGTACCAACTGACATGATGTGGAAACTCCTTTGCAATTCTATGTTTCTTTTTGGAGCCAAAATATAAGAAGTTTTCAAGGAAAGGAACTGGAATCAGAAAGAATCGTAAGCCGTATAATATATATGGTCAATTGTTATTTGCACTTATGCCCTGCTTGAGGTTGGCATACCATATACATGGACAGATGTTGATGTTCCCCTGTAGATGTGTAGTATTACAGGACTGCTCTATATTCTATTTCTTAGTTCATACTTGGAGCTTTCTATTGCACTTTTGTAAAAAGGTCTTATTCTCTAAAATATAATTTTAAGCAGGTCACTGTCGAGAAGAAAAAGAAGGATTCAAGGAGGAGGGAACTAAAGAGATGAAAAGTGGATGACATGATGATTCAACATGGAAAGGCTATAATAAATTATATTTAAATACAAATGTGGACGCCACGTTAGAACTCATATTGAACTAGACATCAAACCTAACTCTTTCGGAGAAAGAAGAGGGTAAAGAAGGAGGAAAAGCAAAGAAACAAAAAGGAAATGACATATTAATTAAACTACAAAACATAATAAAATTAACCAAAAGCTGAGTGATAGGAATAGATGTGTCTAGAGTGACTGAAAATTACCAGCCTGGTTGTTCTTTGGCATAAACCCAGTAAAGGAAGGCAATCCAAAATGAAGAATATACCCATGGTCTTCAATGCTTTTCACATATGCAGTAAGAACCTGCAAATCATACAGAATGAGAGACCATATAGGAAAATCAAGGTAAGAGATAAGCATATAATTCAAAGAGGGGAGCTAGAAAAATTAAATTATAAGAAATCACCACTGCATAATGCAGCAATTAAAGAGACCAAGTTGGCAAGGTAACAAGCATAAGTATACTTATTAGACATATATTCCAACAAAATACTCCCAACTGAATGGAGGAAAAGAGGTTGCTTAATTTCTTGATATAACTAAAATAACATGACTCGCAAGAGCTGATCCTCTTATCTGAAAACAGTAATTTATAAGCATAACTGAAAGTGTGTAATTCACATGTAAATCAAACCCAATGTTCTAAAAAGAATGGGCAGTCCTCCTAAAAAGTGTCTAGTTCGCTGTTTTTGTCTCCCAGTGGTCTAACAACTCAGACTGGGGAATAAACAAGCAGCCAAGCAGGCCAACTAGGGAATAAAATATTATCTAATGTTGCCATTAATACATAATCGAATAGATAGTTGCTTTGGATAAATTCTCTTTTTTTCTAGTTGGGAAAAGGCGCTTTATTTGACAGTCAAGATAAGTTTTCCACATACTTTACAAGCTTTACGGGTTTATCTAGTTTTCTACATATTTACAAGCTTTAATGCGTTTGGTGTGCAGGAATGGAATGGAATGGAATGCCCATTCCAACCATTCCTTTGTTTGGTATGCAATTTAAAGTGGGAATGGTCATTCCATTGGAATGAAAATCCATTCCTGAGAATGAAAATTCATTCAACAACTAAACCTATGGAATGGCCATTCCATTCCAAAGTAATTCTTTTTTGAAAAATCAACTTCCCAAAAAACCCTCATGTTCCAAGTCCAAAAACCACCACCACCGCGCCACCAACACCACTGCCTCATTCCACCACCTTCCACCACAACCACCTCCGCATTTCATCACCACCACCTCCATTGCCTTCTACCACCATCACTACCACCGCCACCATTGTTACCACCTCACTATCGCCACCTCCACCGCCTTCCACCACTACCACCTCCACCATTGCCGCTGCCACAACGGACTTCCACCAATGCCACCGCCTTCCACCACTACCACCATCATTGCCACCACCCCTGTCACCATTACCACCTCCATCATCACTGCCTCCATCATCACCACCACCGCCACTTTCCACCACCGCCACCTACACCATTGCCGCCTTCCACCACTGCCACACCGTCATTCCCTCCACAGCCTTCCACCCCACCGCTACCTCCACCACTATCGCCACCTCCACCACCACTGACTTCCACCAACGCTACCACCTTCCACCACCACTTTCCACAAACACTGCCTTCCAGTGCCCCCACCTCCCACCACCACCACATTCTAACACCACTGCCGCCATTAACTTTCACCACTGCAACCATCTTCCACCGTCGCCGCCTTCTGCTACCACCGTCGCCACCGCCTTCCACCACCTCCACCTTCCACCACCGCTGCAACCAACTTTCACCACCGGTCCACCACCACCGCCACCGACTTTCACCACCACTGCCGTCGCCACCTTCACTGCCTTCCACAACCATCACCTCCATTGCCTTCCACCATCGCCACCACCCACTACCACTATCTCCTTCCACCACCACCACCACACCACTACCACCACCGCCCAACACCACCACCTCCACCACCATCGTCACCGCCATCCACCACTGCCACCATTTCTTTTAAAGAAAATTATAAAAGAACGTTATTTTGTTAATTTAATTTATTTATCAATAAGAGGACATTCCATTCTAAATTTCAAATTGGTCCAACCAAACACTAGAATGGTTATTATCATTTCATTCCAACACATTTCATATTTGCAACCAAACAATAGAATGAGAATGACCATTCTCATTCTATTCCCACTTGCATTCCATTCCTGCAAACCAGACGCGGGATAAGGGTTTCTCTATTATACTATTGATGTTTTATGCATACACCCCTGATTAGCTTAGAAATCATCAAATAGTCTACTAGTAATTTCTAATTTAGACCAAGTAGGTCTAACCGCCTCTTAGCCTACTTTTTTTTTTTCTTGACACTGACTCAAAAACTTAATAATTTGTTGTCTACAATTTAAGATTGTGCCAGGACTTAGAATTAAAATCCGTTCAGTTTACTATGGCCGGAACCAATATGGAATGGAGAAAAAATTGATAGACACAAGCTATCTTTGAGTTGTTTTAGTCACGATTTGCCTGTGAATTGTTTTGGGCCAACACTTTGGATGAAAATCCAAAGCTAAAGAATTTTGGACCCTAAGTTGAACAATGTGTGAAAAAGCTACATGGTTAGAATTAGAATCCAATCTTTCTTGGCTAAATCTCAACCTGCCTCTCTTTCTTGATAAGTTATTGCTTATAGACTAGAAAAATCTATTAGACGTTTTCTTTGGATGATTATGGAGAAAATAGGAATGATCAATGGTCGCTTGTCATCCTGCACTTAGCGAGAATGTTTTAAGATATTCTTAATATAGTTCAATTATGTCTGGCATTTGATCATCAAGGGTATCTTATTCAAGTGAATAATTGGGATGCTACGACACATGCAAAAGTCGCCAAAGGTCTTAGGAGAGAATGGGTTTCATTAGTCTTCCTAAGATGTTAGATGGCATAAGGATTATGGTAAGAAGCCAGTTTCCAAACAAGCTTTCTGGTGGGAGCGGAAGATGGTACTCTATTTTGCTCATCTTCCCTCGACTTCTTCACCAATGTCCAAAGGGAAGACCATTACTAGTTTAGAGCTGCCACACCTCCTTGATTAATTGGGATGTCACTTTTTCTAGGAACCTCAAACAAGTGAGACAATGATAGGCTTGCATCCCTTCCTCAAGATCTTAGTGATGTCCACTTCTTTTCATAACCATGTCCGATACAGGTGTACATATTAAAGTTGAAACTACCATGTTTCTTGGTTCCCTCACTCTTTAGATAGCCATTTTTCCATACTACAGTACATCATTTGGTCAAAGAACAACAAAAAAGTTATACTTCAGCATATAGGATTTAGCAAATGATCAAAAAACTACCAACAGTGGTGTTATACTCAAATTTCCAAATTTACTTTATTAAATATCATACTACTTAAAAAGGGCATACCATAGCTTCTTGAATAACATCAAAGGTTAAGCCCTTATGCAACAAAGAAAGACGGAGAGAAAGCCAGATCTTTCGGTTTCCTTTCTCCTTCTTATCATCATCCAATTCCAACACAATGCAAGAAACAAGCTGCCCAACATGATATAAGCTAGAAAGTAAATTAAATTCCACATCCTGGCATACAAAGAAATATAAACTGTTAGACTGTAAGTATGACAATAATCAAAATCTTGAACACATCAAAAATGTAAGAAATAAAAAAACTAAATGAAAGAATATGATAATAACAAGGATAAATTATAGACCACAAACATCCATGAAAGTATCGTTCAGATTTTGTTTTTAAAAAAAAAGCATACTAACACTTTCATTACATTATCTGAAACAGGGTCAAATGCTTCACTGGCACGAACTAATCCACGCAAGCCCCCTGGAAGACCAATTACAATATCTCTATCATTCACTTCAGCAACTATTCCCCAAAGCTTCATTCCAGGACAAATATTCTGGTAGCAAAAAAAAAAAAAAAAACATAATTCAAGTTCATTATCAACTATGCAGCGTCTAAAAATAGTGTGATTGTGCTGATCAATTAAAAAAGGAAATAAAAAGATAGAAAGAATCAAATTTATTAACATTCCGAGCATAATAAATGAAGCAGTGAGGTATCTACAAAGTCAGATTGAGCATAAGAGTGTCATTCGAAGAATCCTAGAAGATCAAGAAATACACAAGCAGCAATAAAATGAGCATAAGAATTTCAGAACATTAAATAAGAAAAGCTCATAAATAGTGCTTAGAAAACAAAATTTTGTAAACAGAACAAACAGAGTAAAAAAGCCTAGTCACTGTACTGTCAGATTTGCACCCGGCCTAAATAGAAAGCTAAATATATATTTATATGGGAACGACAAAGCTGCCACTAACAATGAAATAAATTGAAGCTATAGTACAACAAGGTTGCAGCCAACCACAACGGCATGAGGACTTGAGAGTTTTTGTTATTGTTGTTGTTGTTGTTGATGATGATCACGGCAACAACTGTTTAAGGATTAAGGAAGTCTAGTCACTACTCAGAATGAAAAGGTTAATAGACCTGTAGAGTTCTGACACACAATATCTTTGATATTCTCTAGGGATCACGGGTTAATGTGACCACCTCCACTTGAGCCAGTCCAGCAACCTGATATTATGTCAAGGGTATGTTTAGGGATAATATATAGAATATGACAAAAGTTTGGACGGATTTTGGCCTCTATATCTACAGTACTTCCACATACAAGGGTTTATTTGAAATTTTTAAAGCATTTAAAGAGAACTATGAAAAAATATCACGCGTGGGGAATGGGTCACCTACTGAAGCTCATTTCAACTTGGCAACCAAAATTTACAAAATTTCATTAATATCAGCACTGAATTTTATCTGAAGTTGGAATGAATATATAAAAGCTCATCAATTTGTATGATTTAATAGAGCAAAAAATAGGATTTTTACAAATCAAAATTCTTCGGTCTTCCCCCAAAGTGAAAAATGATGGGGTGCGGAATAAGAAATATAGACTTTAAAAAAAAAAAAAAACATTAGCCTCCATCTAGTTATAAAGAAGTTAAAACTGGTGATTTCAATGACCCCCTTTCTAAATCTGTTTTGAGCATTTTCCTGACCATTCACTCTTCTTTCTTGAAATAAATAAATAAATAAAATGCAGGCTTAGATGTAGGGGCAGAAGGAGTTCATGCCCCCCTAGATTTTCTCCATCCCCCCCCCCCCCCCGGGGGGATTTTAACCTCCCTTATATTCTATGTATGTTTTGTGAAGTGTATAAAATGCCCCCCTGATTTTTGAAATTATTAAATTACCTTATCCCAAAAATATCAATCTCTTTGTATATATATCCACCAATCTCTCTCTCTTTATATATACATATACACACACACCCCCATAAACATTGATTTATATGCATTCACATTATTGTGTAATATATTTGTAAATTTGTTCATGAGTTTAATATATATATATATAGATGGTATTAGAATAACAGCACTTTTTTTTTCGTTGTTGCTGTGATTTAGGAATTTTATTTAATCCTTCTTTAATTTTATACAATTTTGTATATTATGTTTTATTTGTGTAAGTTATGATAATATGTTTTATTTGATTGTTATATAAATATATCATGAGTGAATTGTTGAGTATTATTGATGAAGTAGAAGCCAAATTGAGAATTATGTTCAACAATTGGCAATGACAAGTTGAATAGAAAATTGAAATATTATTAATTTATGTGTAAATCTGCTATGTAGTACATTTATATATATACACACACACAATAGTAAAGAAAGTCTTAAAAAAAAATGTAACATAAAAAATAAAATAAAAAATCCTATTTTAGAACTATCTTTTTTTTTTTGATAAGTAAGATTTTATTAAAAACGCTCAAAAAAGGAGAGCGAAACCCAAAGAAACAAAAGGAACACAAGGGCCAGAGGGCGCCTTAGACCTTCAGAGAGGCCAAAAAAACAAGAATTTCCTCCACAGATCTATAATCTCTCCCTGAAACCCAACAAAAAAGAGTAGAAATAACAGAAAACTTAAGCATAGAAACAGGCTTCTTTTTCCCGTCAAAATATCTCCTATTTCTCTCAAGCCAAATACACCACCAGATACAGAGCTGCGTAGCCCTCCAAGCATCCCTAATGCCAGCCCCAACAGAGACACCTCTCCAAACCTCAATCAACCCTCTAGAGGAGAAAGGCATAGCCCAATGAACCCCAAATAAACGAAGCATCAAATCCCAACAATCTCTGGCCATGCTGCAATGTAAAAGGAGGTGATCAACAGACTCTTCATGACACAAGCACATGTAACAGTGATTGACCACCACCTGATTCCTCCTCCTCAGATTATCCTGGGTTAAAATCTTACCCAGAACAGAGGTCCAAGCAAAAAAGGCGACCTTGCGGGGAGCCTTGGACGGCCAAATAGACTTCCAAGGGAAGGGATCTCCATGACCAAACGAAAGGCATCTGAAAAAGGACCTAACCTCAAAACGGCCATGCGTGGTAGGAATCCAGAACCACCGATCTGATCCCCCAATAGAAAACACCTGGCTATACAGCAACTCCAGAAAACGAGAAACATCCTCGATCTCCCAATCATGAAAATGCCTCCTGAAACGAACATCCCAAGACAGTCTCCCGTTATCAAGATGATAACAGTTGACAACCATGGCCTGTCGATGAGAAGCAATCCTGTAGAGCCGTGGGAACGCGAGAGCAAGAGGGAGATCCCCACACCAGAGATCCAACCAAAAACTGATCCTCCTTCCATCTTCAATACGAAAACGAACATGCTTGCAGAAATCATCCCAACCCCTCCGAATACAATGCCAAACTCCCACTCCCCTTGGACCACGCATTTCCAGGGAGCACCACCCACCACGACTTTCCCCAAATTTGCAAGCAATAACTTTCCTCCATAACCAATGCCCCTCGATCCCAAACCTCCAGAGCCATTTACCAAGAAGAGCCTTATTAAAAGGTAACAACCTCCGAAACCCTAAGCCTCCAAACCGAATTGGACGGCACACTTGTTCCCATCGAACCAAGTGAAATTTGAACTCTTCACCTTCTCCCCCCCCCAAAGGAAGTTGCACTGCAATCTTTTAATTCTCTCAGCCACTGAAGAAGGAATCTGAAACAGAGACAAGAAGTATGTAGGCAGGCTAGAAAGGGTGCTCTTAATCAGGGTAACCCGACCCCCCTTGGACAGGTACTGCTTTTTCCAACCCGCCAACCTCCTCTCGACTCTTTCCACAACCGGATCCCAGCTCCCCACACATCTCGACGGAGCACCCAAAGGCAATCCTAAATAAGAAATAGGAAAAGAGCCAGTGCAACAGCCAAGGAGTGAGCAAACACCTCAATCTCCGGAACATCCCCAACAGGCACAAGAATACTCTTACCAACATTAACCTTAAGGCCAGAAACAACTTGAAACCAGATCAGAGCGCATCTCAAATACCTCAACTGGGACTCATCCGCATCACAAAAAACAATAGTGTCATCTGCAAACATCAAATGAGAAACCTCCAATTGACTAGCAACATTCCTGCCCACCCGAAAGCCACTCAAAAAACCCAGTTCCACAGCCCTCTTTAGCAATCTGCCAAGAGCCTCCATCACAAAAAGGAACAGGAAAGGGGAAAGCGGATCCCCTTGTCTCAAACCCCTCGAGCTAGAGAAGAAACCCGACGGCGCTCCATTCACAAGGACAGAGAAACGAGCGCTAGAGATGCAAAAAAGAATCCATCTCCTCCATCGCCCACCGAATCCCATCCTCTCTAACAAGTAGAGAAGGAAACTCCAGCTCACATGATCGTATGCCTTTTCAATATCTAGCTTACAAAGAACACCCGGAACACCGCTGCTCAAACGGGAATCAACATATTCACTGGCAATAAGAACAGAATCCAGGATCTGCCGACCTCCCACAAAAGCATTCTAAGAGTCAGAATTGACACCATCCATCACCTTCTTCAACCTAGAGGCCAAGACTTTCGCAATCAACTTGTAAAAACATCCCACCAAACTAATAGGGCAGAAGTCTCTAACATCCATTGCCTCTCCCTTCTTCAGAATAAGAACAATAAAAGTTGCATTCAAACTTTTCTCAAAAGAACCCTGTGCATGGAAGGCATGAAAAGAACCCATCACCTCTTCACAAACCACCTCCCAACACTCCAAAAGGAACCTCATAGTAAAACCATCCGGATCAGGAGCTTTATCCCCATTACAGCTCTTCAGAGCAGAGAGAACTTCCTCTTCTGAAAAAGGCTCTTCCAAAATAGAGCGCTCCTCTCCCGAAATAAAGTCAAAATGAAGCCCATCAAGCAAAGGACGCCAATCAGCTGACTCAGTGAACAAAGACGAAAAGTACTCGGAAAAGCTCTTACTAATCTCCTCCTCTTTATTGATCACCACCCCATCCACCCTAATCCTCCCAATTTGGTTGCCCCTTCTGTGAGCATTAGCAAGTCTATGAAAGAATTTAGTGTTATTGTCACCTTCTTTAAGCCACAAAGCTCTAGATTTCTGTCTCCATGAGATCTCCTCCATAATAGCAATCTCAGCAAACTCTGCTTGACACTCCACCCTCCTAAGTCTCAAAGGACCCGTCAAAAGACCCTGATTCTCCATCTTATCAATGTCAGCTATCTCAGAGAGAACCCGATTCTTTTTCCAGACTAAGTTACCAAACACCTCTTTATTCCATACTTTAAGATCATTCTTCAAAAAGCACAACTTGCCTGCCAAAGTATGACTCGGAGTGCCAACCACTCCATACCCCGCCCACCAGGATCGAACTCGCTCCAAGAAACCTTCAGCCCGGAGCCACATATTCTCAAATCTAAATGGGGATCTTCTGCTACGCAGCCTGCCGCAGTCCAACAGCAACGGAACATGATCAGACAAAGGACGAGCCAAAATGGTCTGAACAACATCAAAAAACTTCACCTCCCAATCACTCGACACCAAAAATCTATCAAGACAAGAAAGTGTGGGAGGAGAACGACCACTGGACCACGTGAAAGGCCCACCCACCAAAGGCAAATCAAGCAAGCAGCAAGCATCAATAAACTCTGAGAAAGCCTCCATATTAGCTGTCCATCTGCCCCCTGTCGATCTCTCAAAAGGGGAACAAACAACGTTGAAATCCCCCCCGATACACCAAGGCAACGACCATCGCCTACGAATCTCCCCCAGCTCCTCCAAAAACAAATGGCACTCATTATCCTCCGTAGGCCCATAGACTCCAGAAAAAACCCACCGAAAGCCATCCTCCATCATGGATAGAAGACAGGAAACCGAGAACCGCTCAGCCTGAGAATCCAGCAAAGAGATCCAATGGACATCCCACATAATCAGGATACCACCCGAAGAGCCAACCGCATCCAACGCACACCACTCCACGAATCTCCCACCCCACAAACTTCGAACAATCACATCCGTCATGGAAGCAATCTTTGTTTCTTGAAGACATACAAGATGACCACCCGCTTTCCGAATCACCGATTTCACCACTTTCCTTCTAACCGGGTCATTAAGACCCCGGGCATTCCATGAGAGAATTTGGAGCTTCATAGGGAAACAGTAGAATTAACCGTCTCACCCCTCCTCCCACTGGCCCTCTCCCTAGCCCCCCTCCTCCTCCTTTCATAAGTAACAACAGTCGAGAGACTTGGAACCCCTCTCTCCTCAATCACCACTGGAGCACTCCCCCTACAATCCATTCTATCAGCAAACTGAGCATTAAGAACATCTAGGAATAGATTAGTCGCCTCCTCCATCCAACCCTCAAATGACACACCCAAAAGAGAACCTATCTCGACACCATTTTCTTTCATCCAATCATTCTCCGAATCAGCCAACCCTGCATCAAATCCCCTTCCTTCCGCAAAATTCTCTTCTGGTCTAACAACTGCCAAAGGTGTAAGCAAGTCAACATCGGACTCACATCCGTTCCACACAACCATTCCCGCATCCCCATGAACAGAGGAACACGACCCATCTTCCCCAAACTCAACAGAAGACACAGATGGAGAGCAACAAGAAAGAGGAGTTCCAAACACCTCCTCAGCCAAACGTTCATTCCGTTCAGTGACAGGGCCCTTCGACACAAGATGAGTTCTCAATTCATTCAAGAGCACAGCAGCTGAAACATCATCAATCCGTATCTTCACATCCCGACCCACACACACAGTAAATCCGTCACTGTTAACATCACACAACCGAGTAGAACCCACCTCAAAATCACCATCGTCACCATGTCTTTTCTCAAAACCAAGCACCGGCTCCTTCTCAAAAACCGGAGATAAACATTGTGACACAGAAGACACAACTCCCTTTTTCGGCACCAAACTCCTTCGAGACACCCCGTAAGGATGAAAAGTGGAAGAAGAAAGGAGAGAGAGAGAGTGATTAGGCAAAGCAAAGGACATACCCGATCCAGCGGCGAACTGCGATGCCGGAATCCACTTCTGCTTTTCCTTTCAAGACCATTTTTTGCGCACAGGGGGAAAGATCACTTTCTTCTTCATACGGTGGCCCTGCACCTGCCCCTTAGCACGTCTACTTCTTCTAGAGCCTTCAGGAAACTCTCTGTTCGACTGAACTTCAATGATATCAATACCATCACTTAAAGGCCCAAACCGGTTGCCCAACACTGGCCAAGAAGAAACAATAGTAGAATCCGGTCCTTTCTTCAATTCACAACCCACAACAACGGATCCTTGTCCACCACATACAACATCCAAAGTTTGGGCCGCACTACCTCCATCCGGCCCAGCAGATGGCACTTTATCCCTCAGCCCAAAATTAGGCCCAGCCACCGACTTAACCCCAAAGTCGGCCTTTCTTTTATTCGTAGCCCAAGACTTTGAAACAAAAGTGGATGCAGCTGTCATCCACTTTGAACGGCCAAGTCTTCTGCGCCAACCACGTGTAAGGCCTTCATCACTCACCCTCCCACGCGCTTGATTGACATGAGAAACATCATGACGACGCTCCTTTCTCCACATCTGCATGAACGCCGGCCGGCCAAGACCGATGAGACCACCCTCCTTATGCCTTTCCCAGGATCTCTCTTGCCTTCGAACACCAGTTCCATCTGATAAGCCTTCTTTCCTTCTCAGAGAGAAAAACCTCCTAAAATAGTCCGAGTTTCGCTTCCATAAATCGTCCCTCCATTCCTCCCATCTCTGAAACTCAGCCAAACCTTTCTTCCCCAACGATACCCACCTTAACCATTCTTTCTCCTTCAGCAGGTGCGAACCATCACCTCCTTCCAAGCTATCCATTGTCGGAACAAGCTCAGGAGGCTTCTCTTCCCACACCTTCACTTTGTAGCAGAGACGATCATCGTGGATGAAAACAAAAGAAGGACAAACCTTGCCGTCGGACACTGTAATGCGAACCCTTTCAGCGTCAATTGTTTCATCGGCATCCACCCAAATGAAACCACCGCATAGATCGCCGACCATAACAAACAGGGCATGACTCCAAAGATGGAGCGGGAGACCGTACAACGTCACAAACTTCAGACCCTTACCCTTCAATACCTCGGAACACCCCACCCTAAAACACCAAGATTCCAATCGAAGTGTGGCCGTCCTCCAAACACAACGACCTTCTTTAAGCACACGAGACGCCTCCTTTGGAGAAGGAAAACGAAAAAGCAACAACGAATCTGGTAGAGGTGAGATAACAACCCCGGGAGAAACCTTCCAAGCACGAGAAGCCCAAGCCGCGATTTAAGCCCAATCACCCACATCCTTGTCGAACTTTCCTACCAAACACGATCGAAGGTCCTCTCTTCTTCTTTCCACCGAATCATTATCCAGAAAAAACGAATGCCCTCGATAGGTGTTTGCAGATCTAACAGATCCGCCTTGAAATAGACGGGGCAACCTTGTGACATCCACGAACTTTCCTATTTTGGAACTATCTCTAAAAACTAAGAAAAAAATATGAATATGAACCTAAATACTAAAATAAGATAACTACCAAAAATTAACTAAATCTAAGTCTAATTTAGTAACAAAAAAATTGACGGTCTTAAAAAAAAAAAACACACCTAGATGATGGAATTTTGACTAATCCACATATATCACAAATAAACCTAGTGAGTATGAGGCTTGAAAAATAAATTATAACGTACATTGAGCCCCTGACAATTTTCTGGCTATCTACAACAGTGCATGCCATTAGCATCAGTGATGGGTGAAAACTGGAAAGCAAACTCCGTCTTGCTAATAGCGATCCGCTTTGATTCAAAAGGAGGGAATACGAAGGTAAATACCTATTTAAACAAAGAAAATCTCCCAGCCCTTCTAATTTCACTAGAATTGGCCCGCTACCCTAAGTTTGAAACTATGGCATTCACAATTCTATTTTTCATTTTTCGTTAATCAATTAATTTTTAATTTTACCTTTTTTCCCTTTCATTCTTCTCTTTCTTAATTTCTTTTTGGGTTTTGAAACTATGTCCACGCTAGCGATGTATTAATAAAGCAACCAGATTATTAACCATAAGAAAAAAGAACATAAAACAATTATAATGATAACATAATTAAAAACTCATACAAGCAACATAAAACAATTATAATGACAACATAATTAAAAACTCATACAAGCATTTAACAACTACGTACCTTCAAAGTGATCTTATTAGCAAACCTCGGTAATTTGCCCGTAATTCCACCGCTGAAAAGCGATCCAAAATCATCCTCTGTGGAATGACTTTTCTTCTTCACTCTATTGTTCTTCTTCCTCTTCTTCAACCCCATCTCCTCCGCTTCAAACTCCGCATCAACTTCGGCACGAACTTCGTCGACCTCTTCTCGACTCAGCGAATTTCCCCCACCTTAAAATACATAACAATCCATAAAAACTATCTATCTATCTATATAATGTATAATACAGACACGTAGATACAATCTTTATTTGCAAATAATTGGTGTAAACCTCTGGGGAAGTCAGGGACGTCGTCTTCAAGTTGTAGAGACAGGGCTTGCGAATGCACGGCGTCGTCTGGTCTTTTGCTACCGGGTTTGAACGATTTTTTCGATTGTTTACTGAACTTTAGCGAGTTCATGGGATTCTTGTTTATAGATTTCTTTGAAGGCGCCATTTTCATGAAATCGATTTTGCCGAGCAAACAAACGGAAAATGTTAAATTATAAAATCTTAAATTAGGGTACGGTGAGAAGAGGCTGAGAGTTTAGAAGGGTTTTAGGAATTAGGCACAAGAGACTGAAGTAGAGGAGCATTTATAGGGCAGCCGTTGCCCGTCGGGCAGTAATCAAGATTTAAATGACCTATCTCATTGGGTCTGTTTAAATCTGGACCCAATTGAACCCGGTTCGTTTATTGGTTACATTTAGTAAGGGTCCGTTTGGATGGCGATAACGCTATATGTTATGGTTTGGTATGATATGAAAACAACTGTTTTGGTATTGGTATGTTTTTAGTAGAAATCGGATCCATGTTTGGTAACGATTGTTTTGTTTTTAAAAATTGTATATCAGAAACGTGATAACGCGTTTGGTATTGTCATGTGTTTTAAGAAATCCAAAAACAAAACACGTTTGAGAATAGTGTTTTGTTATTAAAAATTCTGAATCAATAACAGAATACCTATTTGGTAAAGACTGTTTTGTTTTGTTTTGAAAAATTATATATATGAATACAATTATAAGTTTATATGTAAAATAGTCCATTTTTCTTTATGATTTGAGATAATTTATGGAGAAAAAAAAAATCTGCATTAGAGTTGGGAAATTTTTTTTTTGTTAAATTTACATGTATAATGGCAACCAAACTACTTTGTAATAATGAATAAATCTACATAAACATGATTAATGGCAACCAAATTACAAATCTAACTTTATAATAATCTTTCAATGAGAGTAGATCTTTGCACTCCATTTATCTTTTTCTTTTGGCTTGCATTCCATTTAACTTTGTTTTGTTTCATATATATATATTCATGATGAATGTGAGAAAGAGAGAGATCCTTGTAGTTAAAACTAACAAGAAACAAAGCCAAAACGTTAATCGTCTTGAATTGGTCAGAGTTGAAATTTGGTGAACATTGAAGCTTGTAAATAGTTTTACTTCACTTAGATTAGTTTGAAATTTTGTAGTGGAGGTCCTTCAAATTGGTAATATTTTTTTTTTGTTTAGTCATAAGACCATTTCCCTTTTTGTTGAGTATTTATTTTGATAACGGACTTGTGAATATTTCATACAATATCCAACCATAAGCAGAATTGATAAATATGAATAAAGATTAAAAGTAAGCAATCAAGGAAGATTCCTCTTACAAGACTGAACGACATTCACATATATACTTCCACGTATAGTTTTGCTTTATACATCACAATCTTAAGAACTTGAGTGTTGCACCATTCACATATATACTTCCACATATAAGAAGCTAGACATTCCTTTAAAATATTTGAAAGTACACACACACTTCATTACACTTACAAAAAATGTACACATAATTGGAGATCACTAATATTCATTCCATAAAATGTACACCCACTTTTTTATACTTGCATAGGCCTCCATTTGATTAACTTAGATATCACTAGCATTCTGGAGTTGCAGCAACTAGAGAATGCTTCCTATCAATCCCGCTGGTGCCACTGCCTACAACTTACTGCCATGTCATTCAATGTAGTAGCAAAAAATGAATTTGAATGTAAAACAAGACATTACCTATAGTAGCAAAATATAAAGCAGAGTTAAATTAAATTTTCATTATTTTTTTAAAAAAAATCCGGCATGACTTTCCCTTAAAAATGGACATTTCCAAAATTTCAAAACACAATAAACCCAAGGGACACCGCCCACAAAATTAATTCAATAAGGGACACCGCCCACAAAATTAATTCAACAAGGGATACCGCCCACAAAATTCATTTAACAAGGGACACCGCCCACAAAATTATTTCAATAAGGGACACCGCCCACAAAATTCATTTAATAAGGGACACCGCTCACAAAATTATTTCAATAAGGGACACCGCCCACAAAATTCAACTAACAAGGGACACCGTCCACAAATTTAATTCAAGCAAGATATATCTAACCTTCTTTCAGGCTAAACTGCAAATTTGGAGTGTAAATGACCTCATGCAAAACAAAACATATGAAGAACATTAGAGAAAAACAAAATAACACACGGTAGGAATGAAATAATTAGAAGTAGTAAATAAGATATATCTAACCTTTTTTCAGGCTAAGCTGCAAATTTGGAGTGTAAATGACCTCATGCAAAACAAAACACATGAACAACATTAGATAAAAACAAAATAACACACGGTAGGAATGAAATAATCAGAAGTAGTAAACAAATATATCTAACCTTTTTTCAGGCTTAGTTGTAAATTTAAAGTGTAAATGACATCATGCAAAACCAAACACATGAATAACATTAGAGAAAAACAAAATAACACACGGTAGGAATGAAATAATTAGAAGTAGTAAATAAGATATATCTAACCTTTTTTCAGGCTTAGTTGTAAATTTAAAGTGTAAATGACCTCATGCAAAACAAAAGACATGAACAACATTAGAGAAAAATAAAATAACACCCGGTAGGAATGAAATAATTAGAAGTAATAAATAAGATATATCTAACCTTTTTTCAAGCTTAGTTGTAAATTTAAAGTGTAAATGACCTCATGCAAAACAAAAGACATGAACAACATTAGAGAAAAACAAAATAACACACGGTAGGAATGAAATAATCAGAAGTAGTAAACAAGATATATCTAACCTTTTTTTTTCTCTAATGTCGCAAATAGAGTGTAAATGACCTCAGTAGCAAATTTTACAAATACCCTAAAGCTCACTCCCAAAATGACAGAGAAGATAACACAACAGCAACTAATACGTAGTTCAAAATATACCATTTAAGTATATATTACATACCAAATGAAACACAGGAAATTAACTAAATACATATTACATGTCATATATTACAAAAGATGGAAGTTTATCTAACTTCATCTTTCAATAACAACGATAATGAGCAACAAGAGGACAATCACAATAAACATGATTGTGATAGCAAGACATCCACAACCTAGGAAGAGCATGTACTTCTGTCTACATTGTTCATTTTGAATCATTGCAATGACTCTGTCCAAGTCAGATTGAACCTGTTCTTCAACTTGTGCACCTTGGTGCAACTCATCCACCCACATAAATGCATTCATATGTGACTACAAGAAATATAAATTATACAATTAGGAAACAGTAACAGAAATAGCACCTAAAAGTAATTGACCATACCTCCCGAGCCGGACACCTATAGAATTGTCGACCATCATTTTTGGAGTTCGAGCCCTATACAGATGCATAGGACCTCTACCACATGCACATTGTGGTCGCTCACCTTCAAGCCTATACATAAGTGCGCCTACAAGTACTAAAGCATTTAATATTTGATATCCTAATATAATTAGTTATTACAGTTATCCATAAATAAGGAGCATCTGAGTTTAATTTACGTAATATAATTAGTTATTACAGTCATCCATATTTTAATTCTACACACTATTAGACAGTTTTATAATTAGTGATTACAGTGCTCCCAAATTAGGTTGGCAATACCATCACGATAAATATCCATCTGTCGTATCTGTGTATTAGTAGCACTGACCACCTGAACATCGTCATCCACATCAAGTTCATTTTGTGAAGATTGAGGGGTTTCTGAATCAAAAATTTCATCAGATTCACCTTGGGATCTTATGAAATTATGCAATGTACAACAGGCAATGACAATAAGAACTTGAGTGTCAAAGTGATAAGGGGGCATTTGCTTCAATATAGCGAATCTCATCTTTACCAACCCAAAACATCGCTCTATGATATTCCTCAATGACGAGTGCCTAAAATTGTACACCTCTTCTCTACCATATGGTCCTCTAGTATGTCTACGATATTCCTGCATATGGTAACGTTGACCTCGGTAAGGGGCCAAAAACCCCGGTTGATTGGCGTACCCAGAGTCGACTAAATAAAACTTACCTGTCATGTTAAGTATGTTAAGTATTAAAGTTAACGTATTTGTAATGTTAAATGCACAAATATGAAAACTTAATATTTTTACCTTCAGGTGGTGATGGAAAATTGAAATCCTCATTCTGAATGCACTCATTTAAAATCTTCGAATCATTAGCAGACCCTTCCCACCCTGCTAGAATGTATGTGAATTTCATATCAAATGAACACACGGCCATGACATTTTGAGTCGTATCACCCTTTCTACCACGAAAGGGTATTTGTTGGTGAACTGGCACTACAACATGAATATGAGTACCATCTATGGCTCCTACACAATTCTTAAAGTATGGGTAAAACTTTGGATTGTTCTTTATCTCTTTAGGAATTTCATTCAAATCCGGGGGAACAATAATCTTAGTCCCTAACTCACAAATTAACTTTAATACAGTATGAAAGGGATATGAAATTGTGGATGTAGAGTGTTGGAATCTTTCAGCAACGACACGATTCCTTTCATTGTGAGACACGGTAAGTAGGAAAATTGCAACTTGTTATTCTACCTTTAGAAATGTTGAATCTTTCAATCCTAACAATTTCAACTCACGACACAATGCCCTAAAGGTGTTGGGGTACATCCAAAAATTTTCATAACACCTATCTTCATATCCATTTAAGACCTCGAATATGTAATCTTCCCCTTGTAACATGGAATCCCTACAACGTTGTTTATCAAAATGTTTATAATAGTACTCATATACGGCTGCGATCAATACAAGAATTTCCTCCTCATCATCATCATCATAAATAGTTAATATTGTCCTTATATCCATAGCTACTATCCTATTTAAGAATAAACAGAAGCAGTTATTGTAACAAAAATGAAGCAAAATGGAAAAGACATACCAAATCATACAATTATCCAGCAACAATGTAAAAGCAATAGATGTAGAACATAAATAGTTTTCCAGCATTAATTTAAAAGCAGTAGATAGAGGAATTAAATACAGTCTTCCAACAATAATGTAAAAGCAGTAGATAAGAAAAATTCATTACAGTCATCCAACAGTAATGTAAAAGCAGTTATAAAACAGTCATCCAAAAGCACATAAAAGTAAGATACCGAAGAAATCATAGAAGCTGATTCATCACCCACCCAACCTTCCTTTCATCAGGAATGCGAAGAAATATATCCCTCCACACCTTGTCCTCACCAAACATCCTT